GACTTTGGCTCCTCGTATACTCGTATTCTCGAATCCTTGTATCCTGCAAGGCGGGTGGCACTCGGTCCGTAATTGGGATTTGTATTGAGTTATTATTTATTGCCCCTCCACGCCCTCGACCTCGTCCATGTCCAAATAGAGAAATTATCGGCAACAACTTTGCGTGTTGAATTGATTGATTTGCCAGCCCGGCGGGTTTCAAATCCAAATTGCATTCTAAATTTGTATCTGTCGGTATGTGTGTATCCTCCTGGGATATAGATATTCGTCTAGTCGAGTGTGTGTGGCATGCGGGTCCTTTGCATGTCAATAGGTGCTAAAAATTGACTTTCGAGCAACGCCCAGACAGAACCTGCTTGAAACTTAATTAACAAGACTCCGCCGCAGATACAGATACCAGTGTGTAGATGTATCCATGTATCTCGCGGCTATGTGTATACTGTATCTCTGGCAACAGAAGCCAGGAACCATCACCAGATAAACCCCTGACAATCACTCAAAGCTGCATAGGATAAGGGCGGGGGCAAGGGCTAGGGCTGGGGCTGGGGCATGCAAAATGCAGCTGCAGTCTGCCGACATTTACATACTTACAAGGAAACGAAAGCAGCCGACCCCAGCCAGGGGAATGATATATAAAAACACAAGAAATTTGACATGAACTGTGGAGATTTCAACGCAAAGATAGCGCCAAAAAGATGCCACCGAGACAGGGACAGGGGGCGAAAGAGAAGGAACGACTCAGACCGAGAGGGACGGAACGAGAGACAAGGAGTTTGGCTCCTTGAATAATGGCGGCCTCAATCAGGACCGACGAAACCCAAGCAATTGTAAGAAAAACTCAAGAGCCAGCAGATGAGTGGAGAGCTCTGGAGTTTAAGGTCTGAGAAAGGTCTAGAGATGCTGTTTCTTCTACACTGAAAAGAGTTCAGCTGGAGGATTATTTATTTGAAATATTTTAGAATCTTTAAAACATATCAAGAAGCTATCAATAGATGGAGATAAATTATAATCAACTGAATAAATACTGGTATCTTTTACATTCAGACTTTCATAGAAGACCACATGGTTTTAAGATATTTTTGGTTTTAAATCAAATATATATTAGGATATAAGGTGTAATAGTGTAAGTTCTAAAGCTATTTTTAAAAAGTTCTTGAAACTTGAAAAACTAACTATGAAACCTTCTGTGAAGAAACTCCCCTCCAACTACTACCATTAGAAAAAAGAGCTTGAAAACTATCCTCTTTTCCACATTATTAGGGTTTATTATTTCTTTACCTTCAGGATCTTTATATTTCTCCAAGTGTAACCTTCCTGCATCTTCTTCGTTATTGTGGTTTTCTGAGGGAAGAAAAAAGTGTTTGGGGAGTGAGATGACGCGATTGCTAGATTTGATAAGCAAAATCATTTGTGATAAAATAAATAATTGAGTTCGTTTGCATATCATGGGAAAGCATCTCTCATCGCTGGCGACGCAACCGCACTCAGAACAGAAGACTAAGAATCCGAAAAGTTTAGAAATACTATAGACGGTGTAGAGACCTTAATAAATTCATAGGCACAGTCATAATTTTTTCCAATTGTGTCACAGATTAGGGGGGGCACCTACAAACATACATAAGACAAACGCCTTTGGACAGACTTCAATCAAATCGGACGAGGTTCGCTTAGGCTATCGTGGCAACTATCTTTCGGAGGTAGAACCCCTCACCCCACAGCCCTAGCCCCACACCTCCTCTAACAAGGCGCACCTCCAATTGCGATAAAGCGTTAAAATTAATTATCGAGTGGCAGCAGCGCAGCTCAGTGCGTTGTGCTGTCAAATCTTTATCGCATAATTGATTTCATAGCTACTGCGTTTGCTTTCAGCGCTCCTTTCCTCAAATTACATGCCAAGGGCCCTACCAACAAATTTTTACTTGATGGGTCGAGCAATTGGGGTAAAGCGCTACCTCCAAAAATATACAAAAAACAATAACAAAAAAAAAACGTGAAGACCAAGAAACGAACAACAAACGGCAGCCACAAATCAACATCGCGATAAGAAACTGTGATTTTTATTTTTTGAAAACTGATTTTTGATTTCCTGTACAATTTTGATTAAAAACTCTCCGTCTCCCTCAGCGACTCTGTCATGTCGTCTCAACGTTTATTTTTGATTTTTTGGGGAACCTTCTTCTTCACTGGCTGTGAATGAAAGGCTGAAGACAAATTGAAAACAAAGTCTAATCAGTTGAGCAATTGAGCAATTTCGTATACCCCTTACTTATCGGATTAGAAGGGGGTTAGACCCAAGTACCTTTCGTATTATTTCAAATCACACCTGACCTATCAGGGTGACTAAGTTGATGACTACTTGACAGAGATTACGAAAGTTATGGAAATTTTTGATGGTTTGGGGAGATTAAAAAGTACTCAATGAGATTATGTAAGTACAGAGTTAAAAATGATAAGCCATTTTACAAAGCTCATCTATTCTATCCACCTTATTAATGGGTACTATTTGGTCTCTAGACTTGCCCTTTTTATCGCAAGACTGTCTATAATTTTAGGTTTTGCTTCTGCTACCATTGTTAAGAGCGTCTTGGAAATCTAATCGCTGACAAGCTATGGCTGCCTGTATTCGATAGATAGTTGTGCTGATGGCACACTCGAAGGGAATGGGCAGCCCGAGGGGAGTGGCATTCGAGGGGCGGGCAATTGACTCGGACCCAGTTGAGAAATAACCCAAGATTTGACAGAAGATATGACTTGGGGTTATGCAAGGTGTCGGCTATAGTAAAATATTTCCAATATGGCTTTGATTCTGGGCATCATTATAGTACAATATCCTTTTCCTTAAATCCTTCCTCCACTTGAAAGGACCACCATGTGTCGTGGCTCCTGTTCATTCCGGGGGCCTTTTGTCTCTGGCGTAATTAAAACTTAAAACGCTTTTTGTTTTGCAAGCAGCACTTGAACCATTGTTCGTTAAAACCAAAAGTTCACATTCCACCCCACCGAAAAGGAGCCAAACCGCCAGACCAACAAAAAGCCGGAGAATGGGCCAAAGTATCTCAAGTGTGCTTGGCTCATTGTGAAAATTCCAATAGAGAGCGTGCGACTTCTTTGGAAGTATGTATAAAAAAACTCCCTCCATACGGCTGGCAAGCGAAAACTTTTCAATGCAGCCCACCCGGCAGAGAAGTTTATTGAGGAAAGGTAACAGAATCAGGAGCAGGAATAGGAACAGTACCAGGGGCCAGGACTCGATGTACTCGGGGTTCAGTTCAAGTGGCACGGAGCGCGTGCCTGGGCACGGAGACTGGCTTCAAGTGTGGCAATATGTTGCAGCTTCGAGCCGAGACACATGGTAAGCAAATTGCAGCAGATGCACCTTGCAAGAGAAAGTGGTATGCTGAATTTCACAGAGTTAATAAAAATCGTACCTATTATTTTAATATTAAAATACTATTTAAAAGTTGAAAATTTTGTATACTTAAGAGATTAGTTAGTAATTATACAAGAGTATTGCAACATTCTTCTTTAACTTGGCTAATATCTGAGAAGGCTTATAGTAGATAAGTAGTATAAAATAATTCCTTCTGAAGAAATCAAAAACTTATACAATAAAGTATCAGAAGTTATTACAAATATTATATGTATTGACAATCGCTAGAGTTTCCTATTGGAGTGAGGGAGTTAATAAAATATATTTTATACCGCTGTTATCCTACCTGAGTCCGTACACCTGTAATTCAGAACCCTGGCCAGTGCATAAATCATCAATGCAACTGCACCAGACCTGCACCAGAAATCGGTCGAAAGAGGCGCCCGCAGAGCGACGTTCGATTTCGGGTTGGCCTACGCCCTCGTTTTCCTTCGTCTTCCTGGGACATCCTGCATATTGGTATTTACCTGGGCCTGTGACGAAATATTTAGTCGAAAATATTGTCCCTAATGCTGGCGCCAGACAAGTCTTATGCTGATGATGATGACAGACTTAGGCACCGTACACAAAACAAATCCAACCTGTCACACTAACGACTTCTGCGAAGACAATGGCCCGGCCGGCCCGAACCGGCCCTTTCCCTCTACCCTACCCTACCTCTACCTCGGCTGGTTAGTTTGCCTAGCTAGACCGATATTTCGGATTCGGTTTTGCAGTTTACTTTGGCTTTGTGCATAAGCCAAAAGTGTTGCACTAGTTTCGAAGGATTTGGCCCGGCCAGACAAAGAGCCCGGGGATCGGCAGGGCTTTGTTTTCGGTTCCCCGTTTATGTTTCTGGTTCAGGCTGCTGTGTGGAAATTGTGCATGCACTTTATGGTGCAATTCCTTTGTCCTGCCGGCGAAGGCAGGCCAATATTTTTATTGCCCATGTTGTATGTAGCTTGTAGCATGCTACTACTAACAAATAGCTGCAACAGCCGCTAAGAGTTATGACCCGGCGCCTAGGAGCTCATCTCCCAAACAAAGGGCTGTGAAAGCCAGTTTTGTTCCGAAATGTATAGGAGTGGGTTGTTGTGATATCACGTAGAGATCGTAAACCGATCCTTATATTTTAGAAAATGTATTCTGTAATATGTACCAAATAAAAAAATATATTTATTAGATTAGTGTCTGACTAGAGGATTACATTGTAGTTAATTGTTAATTAAAAACGGAAGTTACAACATGCTAAATAATTAATTGGGGAGCTAAATTGGTTCACCCTATAAATCCGTATAAAAGGCATTACATTTTAGCCAACTTGTTATTATTTTCATTCAGCTACAATTACAATGTTAAAAATTAAATTTTTCATTGGTTTTATGCTTATTGGAGGGGCTTATGTAAGTATAACTTAAAAATAATGAAAAAATAGCTGATGAAATATAATTTTCAGATGTTTCTTCCCAAAAATTATGAAGTTCGCATTGTGAGTCTAACTTCGACTGGTGAAAAATACGTTGATTTTAATAAATTACGTCTTACTGCTCGCGATCACCGGCTTAATGGAACAATTACGATTTTAAAGGACATGGATAATGAAAGCATTACAGGGTCCGCAGAGTCCTTCCACGATGCCGAAGGAAATGGAGAGTACAAGCAGTTGCCCTTTTTTATTCCGAGGCAGCCCATCTGTAGTCTCCTCCGTTCCTATTGGTCTTACGCAAATACATCTGTGAAGTACGATGTGAACACCGATTATCCCGTTCACATTCTTCCTTGTCCCATTCCAAAGGGAACTTACTATGTTAAGGATGTGGAACCTAAGACAGATGGGTTGCCACTTGTAGTGCCTAGAGGCTTTGTGAAGGGCGTAGCTTCTCTATATGAAAAGGAAGAAATTGTGGGAACTCTTACTATGCTTTTACTTATTACGGATAAACATTCATAAGATGTTAAAAAATAAAAATTTGTATTAATATTTCAATAAATCAAGTTGAATATATTTATTTTGTGCTGTGAACTTTTATGGAAAATATTTTAAGCGACAAATGTAACAAGAAATGTACACTTCAACCGTTGACTTGATCAGTTGTTGTCAAATTAAATAAAATACAGATTACAAAATATTATAATTGTAATCTATATTGTATATATAGATTGTATATTATAATTATATAATTGTAATTGTATATTATACAAACATTGTTATTACGACATACCTTTTTTTATATAATGAAAATTATATAATACATCAACATTTGTTGTGTAATAGAAAACAAATTATTTTGTAAAACTTTGTATTATATTTGTAATTAATTAATACCCAAACTAGACAACCCAAGTTTGGATTGAATAAAAACAAGCTATTTCCGTGTGTTATCTTAAATATTTTATGAACAAGTCAAAGCAATTAATATTTTTTTAAACACGAACTCAAAGCTACTATAAAATCCCGTAATCCAAGTTTTTAAATTAAGTACACGGTAGCCTCAAGACGAAAATGGATGGATTAAAATACCTTATTTTTCTACTGATGATAAACGGGGCTTACGTAAGAAATAGATATTAAAATGAGAGTCCTTATTGATTTAAATTTCCTTCATAGATGGCTCAAAATTCCTATGAAGCCCGGCTGCTGTCCATCAATTCATCAGCCAACTCGGTTTGGAATCTGGACAATGTTCGACTTTTGGGCCGAGAACACCGAATGAATGGATCTGCGGCTCTCCTGGACGATATGAGCAATGAATTCTATACATTCTCAGCCGAATGCTATCACGACGCGGATGGCAGTGGAAATTATAAACGGATGCCGTTCTTCGTCACAAAGGAGCCCATTTGCAAGGTGATGAAGACCATGCTGGAATACCTCGAGCCCAGTGTGGTTGTTGGGGTTAATACGGATTTTCCCATCAATGATATTCCATGTCCTGTTCCAAAGGGACAGTACTGGATCAAGGACATCGAACTGAACACGGACAATTGGCCGACTATAACTCCCAGAGGATATTTCAGAGGTATCGGGTATATATACAAAAATGGATTAACTCTCGCCGGGACAGTGGAAATCGTTTGTGAAATTAAAGATCGTCCAAAATAGTGATTTCTACATAAAATATTCTTAAAATCTTGTAAAAGAAATAAAGAATTTTTGGTGAACTATTTGGTCCATATATGTATGATCTAGATTGCTATCAAATTTTTTTGGAATCCCACTTTCTAAGGATTCTCGCTTATCATGATAGCCAAGTGCTAAAACGTTTAGGACAATGGATCTTTGGAACGATTTCTGGAAACCCCATAACCAAGAGTGCCAAAAGATTAGCATATCGTCCAGAAAATCGTTCAGATCAGAGATCAGACAAAATAGCCGCCAACACCTCCAACAGTCCTGCCCTCGATTCAGCTGCCTTGATAGGAAAATCCTGCGATCATGCATGAAATGATTTCCGAGGAAATCTGATACAGCGAGGATCGATTTTCCGGGGCTAGATGGCGATACGATCACTTGTCCGATACGGAGATCAACGGCAAAGGATCTCGTCCTCCGACGATGATGATGTGCACATTTTCTGCTAATCCTTCGGCTAACGCCCAGCACAGACACACCAAACAGACGTCGCCGCTGTGGCTTTATGCTAATGATCGGTTTTGGTCCAGAAACTAGGCCAAAAACTGCAAAACCACCGACCATGGCTCATTGTGCGGTGACTGAGTTTGGGTAAAAAAAAAAAAAGAGGAAACCAACAAACAGAGTGCGCCTAAATATTGCAAATCTGGCCGGCGACTGGGCCGGGCCATTGTTTCGGCCTGGCAGCGAGTGCGAAAATAAAAATCTCTTAATCGGCACTGGCGACAGCATTCAATGAGTTTTGCACTGCCTCTGGCTGTGGAAAGTGGACATGGGACGAAGGACATAGTGGACTGTGGGATGCGGTGCATGGGACTTGCACTGGCAACTGGCACTTGAAACATGACAATATCAATTTTTACGTACAATGGCCTAATCTGATAATCAGTGCAAACATGTCCTTTGTGTCCATTGTGCGTGGAACAATGCAAACGGCATAGTTGTGCGCCAGGATTAGGTGCCAAAGCCAGACGACGCGTCGGTGGACGGACGGCAGAAAAGTGAGGCAACCCCGGGCCAAGAGTTTTGTCAAAGTTTTAAAAGTCTTTTTTGGCAGCCATCCAATCCAAGTTTCCAAACAAAGAACATAGGAGTAACTAGTTAAACATGGCCATTATTACAGATAACATTTAAAAGTAATAATAGTAAGGATATAAAAATATAGTATTCCTTACTTATTAATATATTTACAACTCTGGTGATATTTTATAACCTGACATAAGAAGCACCCAAAAACGGAGTTCATTACGGATCTCTATTAAATGATTAATGTGCATTTTATGGTAAACTCCCGGGCCAGACGATCCCCATAAAACGAGCGATCATAAAAGGAAGACAAGTAAAAACAAGGGAGCCGGGCGAGATGATCGGTGCATGTAAAATGAATTCGAGACACGGGACTTGAGACTCGAGACTCGAACTCGGGACTCTCCAGCTTGTCAATCAAATTGCAGAGGCACACAACATAAAAATGATCGACAACAATGACACTTTGGGCGGCAGGAATGTCGCGGATAAGCATCACCACAAACACATATACATATACATCCAAAGATCTGGCCGTCAGGAAGGTTCATTTATCATTGGAATTGGATGGGGAATGTGCTCACTGGTGGCGGAGGTGTGGCTTATGCCCAGCATGAATTAATCATCGCACAAATCAAATTGAAATCACAACAGTATAAAAAACAATAAAAATATCATAACAAATGCTGTGCCAGGATTTAATAAGGGAAGGCACGACTTCCAGGGATTGTCCTCCCCATTAGAGGACGTTTTCAAGGAGGGTTGGGCCCTGCAGAGATACAACCACAAATTGACTTGTTTTGTCGGGTTGCAACTCCCCGCAAATTAGTTGCTCAATTGGGTAATAAAACCAAATGTGCCAATTGCTAATGCTGTTGAAAGTTTTCCCTCGGCGATGCCACTTTCGTTGCAAGTGCCCGAAAACAATTGTGCAATTGTGCATTAATTGCATTTCGAGGGGAAGGCAAAAGCCACAGGACATTGCCTCAAATGGGTATTGCATATGCTGGGATTTAAAGATTCTTTGTATTACCAGAAGAGTTTGGTGGTTTAGATACCGACCCCGTCCGGTCCACTCAATTATGTCATATCGGCCATGCTAAATGGACTTTTAACTTGCTTTGATTGTATAATTTGGCTCGTTCTTCGGGGCTTACCTTTTATGGCCGGCCATTAAAAAGGCGAACGAGCTTGCTCAGATTTATCAGCGTGCACGCCATAAAGTAACAAATAAATTTAAATACTAATAATAATAAAAAGTAATACACGCACTCCCATAGGGGGTCCCTTCGGGTGGCATCCTCGAAAAAGGATACACCAGCCAACCAGTTCGCCGTGTGCAAAAGGCCAACACACATTTATGGCCAGCAATTAAATGGGGCTGCCATTTGTTTTATTATAACAGCGAGCGAGCTACTGAAGCGCCATCATCAGTAGCGAAGCAAAAGCAAAGCAGGACGAAAGCAAAGCAGCATCGGCATCAGCGATAAGGCTCCGTTTTATTATTATCCTTTATGCTTTTCGTGTGCTTTTTTTCCAGCCCTCCAACGGGGGGCCTTTGGTTGTGGGGCGTGGCCCGGGCATGGGTGCCACACATTAGAATAGGCCGGGCTAAAACAAGACAACAGAAATTAATAGACACATATGGAAATGGGAATGCTCTTTAAAAGTTTGGGGGTTTTTTCTAACTTTGAATATTCAAGAAAAAATGGTTTTGAATTTCTTATATGCCTTTGTTGATAAACTATAAGTATTTTTTCAAAATTGACTAACTGTTTGTTTTATAAAAATTTTTATAATTTATATTATATTTCAAACTAATTTTGATAAACCAAACCATAAGCTCAAAATATTTAAAAACCTTTTTAGTTTTGGAGAAGAATAGGAAATTGTATGTAGTACTTAGATAAATTAATGCATTATCCAATAATTTGTATATTAAAGGCTTAAAGATCTTTTACAATGCATATAGAATGCCCCTGCCTTTTTTTATAAAATTACTCCATTCTTCTATGTATATTTATAAAAATCATTCTTCATTATTCTTCTTTCTTATGTAGTAGGCCCTATTCCAAACACCATTCTTCACAGCTTAACTAATGTACCCCTGTTTTGTAAGGACATCCAAAGACAAGGCCATAAAAAGTCGCAATGCGCCATAAAAACAGTTAAAGCCAAGACAAAAGTCGCCCAGTGGCATACCCCATAGAGACACTCACTCACACACCTACACACGGCACTCAAATGCGATTTGGGAGTCGTTAAAAGTGTGCCTGAGTATGGGTGATGAGTTCTCTCCTGCCTGTGTGTGTGTGTGCTGCCAAGTCCTGTACAAATTAAGCCTTTCTAGGCAAACAAACGAGCGCGCATATCCTTGTTAAGTAAATACATATATATACAATATATAACAAAATAAAACCCGCAGAGGAGATCTGTGAGCTCCACCCACTCCACATCGCCCCACTCCCCCTGCAGAGCATGTGCAAAGTAGGTTGCTCAAATCGCACACAACATAAAACATTTTTAATGCCAAACAACAACAAAAACAAGAGGGGAAAAAAGCGGAATAACAGACAATAAAAAAAAGCACACAAAACGAGCATAAAAATGGCAGCTGGCAAAAGAAAATGGCCGCCCAGTGGCACCCCTTGCACACCCACTCCCCTCTCTGACTCTCCACAAATATCCCCCCCGTCATCCTGTTTGGCGGTCATACGTACAGGATATTGTGTAAAAAGGATTAATGTGCCCCGTTTTCTCTCTTTGTTTTAATTGCATTGAGGTTAAGGGGAGCAGAACATTTTGGCCAAGAGGAATGGGCCCAAACGAAATGTAAAATGCCCAAAAGCGTCGGAAAATAAATGTATGTATTACTACCCAGGACGTAGGACTTTATCAACCGGAAGGGGTCTCCCGATAGTCACTACTTAATAGATTTCCTCTCTTAAAAAATGATGTGTGTTAGTTTAATGACGTAATTCCTATAGTTTAAAACTTGATTTTTTATTAAGTAACACCCCCCTTGACAGAAGCCCCTGATTTTTGGTTAGCCAGCGAATAAAATATATATTTGATGCCATAAAAATGTCACAGACGCCTTGAGTTATGCAGCCTGGCTGTGGCTTATGTGGCGCCCGCCGTAAAATCCCATTCCAAGGACCTTTTCCCATTTCCATTTCCATTGCCATTACCACTTATTCTTGGGTCACAAAAGGCCGCAGCTTAACCCTTTTGTTTTGCACGGTTTTAATTTATATAAGAATGCACAGAAATTTATTGCTTTATCATATAAATTGTATTATGTAAGGTCCTTCCAGCCATGGTAGTTAAGATTATTTGATTAGACAAAGGGAAATTACTCGATGCGTTATCTTATTTTTAGAAAGGACATATTTTTTTCTGTTTAGGAAAGTTTTTAGTTTTAATTGCCTCTGTTGATTAGTTTATTTTTTATAGAAAGTATAATAAAAGTTACTATTTCAAGCTTCCTAAAGATATTCAAGGATCCTTGAATTCCATAATAGTTTTTATTCCAAACACTTTACCTTCTTGGCTTTACATAGGTATTTTAGGAATAAATAAAATAATTAAATATAATTTCAATTTCCATTATAAACTAGACCTTAAGGCTTTATATTTTAACTAGAATTTCTATTTGAATATAACCCTATTACTATTAATGAGTTTTATGAACTTTATTGGCCTAGTCTTTACATTTTAAAATAGCTCTTGTTTTTATTCTTCCATGCCAGCTTGTAATCTGTTTCGTTAATTCAATTAAGCCCCACTAATGTGAAAGATATTGTGCGCCCTCCTAGATTTGTTAGCCCAACACCTAACTGGGCCCAAATCAGCGATTCATCTTGGCCCACGCTCTCGTTTCAGCCATTGCATGCTCGCTCCTGGCTCTTCGCGCTGTTTTCCCATCATTTGTGTTCGTTTTATCACTAACCATACAGCATATAGACAACCCATTTCATACAACGAAAATGGACGCGAAAATTTCTTGCTACAGGC